CCCTGGTCGTAACAATGTCAAAAAAACTGAAGTTTTGTGTATTGAATGACGAATTCTTTTTTTTTTTAAAAAAAAAAGGGATTCTACAAAAAATTTTTAAGATATACCTGCTTTTGTAAATCCGGGTGTCATATAAAACAAAATATTTCAAGTAAAAATAAGTTAAATAAAGCAAAACAAAGGCTATACAAAAACAAAACTAGTTTTTTAAAATAAATACCTGATAATAAGCTACCCTATCATTAAGCATAAATTGCTTAAAAACTTCTATATCCTGAAAATAAGCTACTTCTGATTTTTTTAATTTAAAATTAGCCAAAAAAAGGTAGCTTATTTTCGGGAATCTACAGTATATCAAGCATTCATTAAAAAATAAGGTAGTTTTAATCTTCAACAATTAATATTAGTTGGGTAGCTGTCATTAATCACTTTAATTAATTTACAACTTGTCACTTCAAATTTTAGGTTTTGTCTTTCGTCAGAGAGATTCGAGATTTTCTCAGTATTTCGCCTTTTATCAAGGAGATTTGGAATTTCGTCTTTCATTAGAAAGATTTAGGATTTCGCCAGGGTTTTGCCTTTATTAGGAAGATTTTGGATTTCATTAGGGATTTCGCTTTTGTCTTTCATCAGAAAGATTTGGAATTACTCCAGGATTTCGCCCTTCATCACTTTTAGGTTTCGTTATTCATAACTACTCAAAAAAGGTATTGCAACTATTTATTTGTTAACTTTAATAAATTTTGATTTAATTTTTTTTTTGTTTGATTATTAGGTATAAATTCATGCGATAACTATCTCTGAGCTTTGACATAAAATCGATATCTTCGCTAATTATCTGTTCATCATAGCCAGTGTTGGTACTGAAAGTTAATAGTATTAAAACTTGCACTGGTACAAAATACTTATTAGAAAATTACAAAATTCTATTAGAGGAAATTTAAAATTTTATCTATAATTTCAAAGAAATGGTAATAAAGTTTTATTTATAATTATGTAATAGTTATAGGTATCTTATTTATTATTAAAATCATTTTAATTATGTCAATTTAGTGTGTAAAAATGGATACATAACTTCAAATTCTGCTTCGTAGCAGTGTTTTGAATGTGAGGTTTGTAGGAAAATGTATAGAACAAAAAGTGGGTTAAATCGTCATAAGAATGTTGTTCAAAAATATAATATTCGCCGCAAAGGGTTGTATACACTGCCTTCAGAAGTGATTAATCAATTTAAATTTGATCTTATTTACGTTATAAAAAGCAAGCTCAAGGAACATTTTAAACAATCACGCAAGCAAGCTTTTTCTTTTCTATGTTTAGAGAGTTTATTTTTGGAGTTTTTGCAGGTTATATTCATTATTATAAATATAAAAATGGAAGTTATAAGTGTTTTTCTCAGGGACCAGATGCATATTCACAGTTAGCAAATATTCTTAACAATCAAAACTGGGAGCACAAATTCTTTGATAATAATCACCAAATGCTTGTTTTATTATTTGATATACAGGCTGAAAGAAGAGAACGATATAAAAAAAAGTCTTGCTTACCAAAATTAACCATCGAATGGAAAGCAAAGAGTCAAAAGGATGCGAAAAATAATGAAGCTTTAGCTGGATATATATACTTGAGCTTTTATGTTTTACAAATATAAATTTACAGATTTTATAAAAATTTGATTAAATTGTTATATAAATTTTATTTGTCATATTTATTGGTTATTAATTTCTTGGAATTTGAAATCTTGTTGATTAACTAATAAGTATATATTGTACAGTGTGAACCATTATTTCTTATGTAACAAATAATGATCGATTTTGAAATCTTCACAAAGTAAAATTTTGCTTCACACTGGGTACTATGGTCTGTGCTATACATTATTTGGTAATTATTATGTAAATATCTGTAGTAAGACACAATTATGTTATGAATTACAATCTAGCACTAGCATTTACAACAATTATGGCAGTTACAACCATTACTGTTACAGTATTATGACAATTATAACTATTATGGCATATTTACAACTTTTGAGTATTAGTTATAATGAGGGTTGCAACCCAAGTTATAATTTGTAATGCCCGTAATTACTACTTTCCTATTATAGCCGGCAATCTTATTGGAAACATTGCACAAAACCTTAAATAAAAACCTCGAGTATTATACATTTCAAGTAACATTATTATTGATTAACCTAGTTTTATTTTTTTTTATATAACCTTCAAACTCTTTGCAAATTTGTTTGGTAGTTTATAAGAATTGAAGGTAACAACAGTTTGAGTTAAAATTCTTCTATTTCTAAGATTCTAAATTATAGTTATTTGAATCTATATTTAAAAGTGTGGATTTATCAAGAACATTCTAATAAAACATCTAATTAGTTATGAGCTTATTATATTGATCAAAAATGTAATTAAAATTTAGATTTGTCAATATGAAGATATTGAGGTTTGGAAGCTAAACTAGTTGTAGAATTTTGAGTAAAGTATATAGATCAATTTTCAAAATAAAGAATTTCAAAAATTGCTGATTTTTTTCTGTACCTTTACCACCATCTTTTATGGTTTTTTTAAAAAAAAGTGAAACCTGATCATGGTTTTTCTTCTCAACTGCAGTGCAAGACAATGCACCCATGCCAAAATGCCGATGCCGTTCCATAAACTCAGGTATATGGTTTACCATGACATGCATGTATGGCGTAACGTCCTTTGGACAATAGAGTCCTTTTTTAAAAATATCGAATTTGGATCACCTTGGCTAGGTGTAAGAAATAAATTTAACTATTCTCTTGCTTGGATTGCAAAAATGGCAGGATCAGTTTTCAGTTCTTTAATGTCTTTATATAGTTTATAAAAAGTTCTCCATAAATGATTAATTAACGTTGCCTGTTCTTCATCAAAAATGGCTTCAAAATTAAAACTACCTAATACTTTTTTCTTGTCACCTCCCATTAGAGAGGTATAAGACCAATCTTGCCTATTGTCATTCCACCAAAAAGTAAAACTAACCGAAACTCTTTGTATTTCTATAGTAATAACTTCTCGAGTATAATCATCAAACCTGTTTTCAGATTTTAGTTCCTGAACTACAAGTGCCCAAAGTCTATCCCAAATCCATAATAAAATATGAAGTTCGTCAGGAACAAAACAGTTTAAAGGAATCGTGGAAAGAAGTGGATCTTTAATATGACCAGGTGGTAGATTTGACTTGAGTTGGTTTATATCTTTTTCAATCTTACAAATTTTATCCTTATTGCCAATGTTTTTCTTGATACAAAGCACCAGAGACAAAAATTATTACTGTTTGGAGCATTAAATCCCAATATAATAGCCAGAAACTTCCAGTCGCTACTTAAGTATGGTTCAATCTTCTATTTAATTCCATTATAATTCTCTAGCCTGTTGGTTACAAGATCATGCAGTTCACGATTTATCAGTTCCATTACTTTTTTCAACATTTCATACATTTCTATACCTGGATAAAGGACTATCATATAGTGGAAATTAGCCTTGTAAAGGTTTGTAATATTATCCATAATAGAACATGTGATCATGACATGCTTTATCTTTCGCCCTACATTGCGTCCATCTCCAGATAGATGAATATAAATAACGGGATCATTTTTATGAAGAACATTTCGATCTATAAGACCCGGAATCACAAATAACAAGATGTCTGTAATTCTTTTGTAGCCAGCTTTGCCAATATATTTTGAGATCTCTTTCTTTTTTTCAGAATTTTAACTGGAAAATTCATTAGTTACTATATAAATCTCTAAAATAGAAATTGGTATTTTTTTATCCATTTCTGTATTAATTTCCTTTCTGACATCAAGAATATCCCAGTTACATGGTAACTCAGGCTGTAACGCAGCCAAACTGCGGTAAGCATCTCATGAAATTGGGCCTTTGTCAATGACTTTAACGAATGCATCCAACTGTTGCTTTTCTTTTTTTTTTGTATTTCCATCACTATAATCTGCTAAATATTTTTTATTTTGAACATTGAATCGAATTTCTTGTAAAATTGGTTTATCAATTGGATTATAAAATTTGAGTATTTCATTTTCAAATGCTATGCCTAGTTGTACTGAAAATAAATGAAACCGTTTTGTTTTCATAGATTCACCCAACTTATCAAAGGGTTTAAAAGAACAAAATTTTCTTTTTTTTTCACGCTCTTGTACTACATCTTTGACATTAAGACCAAATACATGTATCCCAGAAATTTTTGCACATGTATTAGGATGTTTTTTCTAAAATAAATAAATAAATTATTAGAAAGATTTTATAGACAAAAACTGCCACATACGAAACTAACCTGTAAATAATTGTTAGCGACTTTAGTTAAAGATTTTTTGAATTCTATTATATGCTCTTGAGAGCCTTCTCTAAATCTAATCCTAAAAATCAGGCCATCTGATTCATATTCGATTTCACATTCTACCATGTGTTTTGACTTTCCTCTGCCCCAGCTAGTTTGAACTAGATAATTATCTGAGATTTTGTATTGGATTTTGTTACGAGACCAAGCAGTGGTGTAGCATATAACATCTTCTGGTGGATACAATCCTTCATTGATAATATTGTACGTATAAGTACTATTATTTTGTTTAAATGAAAAAGGATTACTTTCAGGGTATTTATTTTTACTGCATAGAGACATAACTGATAATAAAGAAAAACAATTGTGATTGTTTTTATTATTGTTAGTGTAGTAGTATATTTATATCACTTTCCCTATTCAACTACTGGCGTTAGAGTTGTGGGTGTATATGTATCCCAAAGCATTTTCCAGGTGCATTTTTTTTCAAATATATATGTACGTACGTACGTACAAACCTGCATAAGCTTTTGATCTTGCTAACTATATATCACATGTTCATTGTAATACAAAATATAGTTTAACGATTTTCCATTTCTATTATTTTCCCTTAAATTTATTTTTTATATCTTGTCAAGATGACCAAATTCAATATCTTTAAAAAGGTCTCTGTTACCCAAAGTATGTTGCACCATATCTGCATATCTTAGTTCAATGTAACAACCAATATTTTGGTTCAACAGCATTTATAAGTTACCAGATCATCTGTTAACCGGTAAGTTACCGCATTTTCAAAGATCTCCAGACTACCATACTCATACTAAGGTTCATTAACTGTTTATTATTTTCAATATTAATCTATGCCATCAAATTTCAAAGTCTACAAGTTTGGATAGCTTAAGTTCATTTGTAACTCTGATGTTAAAGCCGGGTCAGTTTCAGATATTAGTCTCTAACTAATTTTGAGTGGTAATAGAATTCACTGGAGGTGAAATTCACCATGATGTTTTTAATTCTTATTATATGATCTAACTTAAATATTAAATTAAAATTGAACTTTAGGATTAGGGTTTAAGGCTTAAATTAAAATAGAGGTTAAGGCTTTTAGGGTGCTGAAAATTTTTACTTAGTATACTAAATGCAGATTACCGAAGCTGTTTATAAGAGACGGTATACCCAATAAATTTCACATTAAAACCATCCTGCATATATATTGACCTTTAAAAAAACAAAAAAAAGAGATCTGACTGTAATAAAAACATAAAGGCATTCTCAAACCCCTCTCTCTTAATGAATAAGATTGGCAGGGTTGATCAGACAGACTAATCAGATTCTTTATTGAGTCTATTGAGATAGGTTTTTGAGAATGCTTTAAAAAAATCTGAGTAATTTCTCTTGAAAATATACATATATTTATTAGATTCCTCTGTATTGTTTAACAATAGCAAAATTCTTTATATTTTCTTAATTTTATCTCTGTGCATATTAAAAAAAAGAGCACTAATAATTTAAAAGGCATATTTAAGAAATTTAATAAACATAATTTTATATAATGGTATATACTTACTGGCTTAAGAGAAATTGCAATTTGAATTTTATAATTTTTGTTAATTTATCATTATATTGCACTTTGCATTTAGACTGATGTTGAGCACCCCATTCGTGTATATTATGAATTAGAAAACATTTGTGGTTTTGGTACATATATAGTTGGTGTGGTCATGTTTATTTCATAATCACCATCGCTGAAGCTATTAGGATCGTAAAATTAGGATTGTTAAAAAGAGTGAAATAGATTTCAGCTTTAGACATGATGTATTATAGCGCAGCTGAAGTTTAAGTATTAAACCAAATATAAAGTGCATTTACTATTATTCTATTGAATTCTCTTATAAAACATATGTATACTTCATTAAAATAATAAGAAAAATTACACATTATATAGCTGATAGGGTACCGAAATAGTCTTACAAGTATACTTATTGCCTATCACTATACAATAAACATTAGAGTAGTCAATAAAAATGATTAGTAATCACGATTGCAATTGAAAAATAGATAAAATATGATATATAGATGGCCAACTTATCTTGCAGATATGAGTAATTATTTTTGAACATAACAATAAGAGCATGGTTGAAATTGGTTGCGATCCTTGAAATTTCATTGACTGCTTATAGTAAGTGTTCTATACGAAAATGCAATCGATCATTAATAAATCGCTGACGAATCTGGTTATATCTGATTAAATTTGCCGGAAGCAAGTAATATTGAATAGTAGAATTTCTTTAATATTTCATCATTTGTTTAACTATACAAATTTACGACTTACTATTTGCAAGTCATAAATATATATAGCAAACAGTTAGTGAAATTTTTAAAAAAATATATTCTTCGATGTTACTTGCTTTTAGAAAATTTAATCAGATGTAATCAAATCGTTAATGATTTATCGTAGTGTTACTATGAGGATCGACAACCAATCAGCAAGCTTCTTTAAATATGTCAACTAAGTGACTCTTCTTGCAGCTTGTGTAACAAACATTTTAGGGTGTGTCACAACAAACAACTAATTCCAAAAAAGCTCCCATATGTTCTAATGATTTATTTAAATTCGTTAGTGACTCTTTGTATTTGTTCACCAGGTAAAAAGCTACACCGCCGGATCTTAATGTGGATGCATTATTAGGATTAATTTATTTAAAACTGCTAGTGATTCTTCGTGGTTTTTCATTATAAGGTAAGCTACTCCACGATTTTCTAATGCAAATGCACTATTAATGTCTAATGATTTATTTA